GTTGTCTGAGTACCCCCCCAACCCCTGTCAACATCAAGCAGAAAGGGTAGGGGGAAGTGCTTGCCCACTCACTTGAAGTCTAGTGAGAAGAGCTTCTTAAGACCATTCCAGGAGCTTGAAGAGTTCTCGGACTCACACTTGAGCAAGCAATAGCAGCTTTGCACTGGGGAAGTAACCATATTCCTCTAAAGGTGCATGATTCCTGTAGTGCAGACGTGACAGTAGGAATATCAGCCCGGGGTTGTCTTAGAAAGGATCTTGCCCAGAAGAGCAGCGTCTCAGGCAGAGTTAAAAGCACAAAGGGACAGAGCTCAAAGTGATGAGGCAGGACACTGCCTTTACCAAGGGAATGGCAGCTGGATGGGCCTGGGCCAGGCAAGGGGGAGTCCTGCATAGAATTCGTCCACAAGGGATAGTCAGCTTCAAAATCTGCCCTGCCCAGAGAGCATGATGACATTTTCCAATAAAAACTCTAGTTCATCTTGGTTTGCCTCACTACCCCGGCAGAGTCAGAAACAGCTGCCACGGAGTAAGAAAGGTGGCAAGAAGGGGTGGGGAGACCTGGCGCAGGATCTCCACCTGCACCAAAAATTCCCATTTGCCTCCAAGCCCAACAAGGAGAGAGGGGCCAAATTTTTCCTTTAAATGAAGATTGCAGTGTTGATTCATACGTTGGGTCTTACATTATAAACTACTGAATTGAAACTAGCATATGGACTAGATGTTTTAAATCACTGAATCGAGACTGGAATACAATGTAGGACTAAGGGACCAGAAAAGTCATGGAACTTGCTCAAGTTTTCAAGGGGCAGAACAAGGACTAGCCCCACTTGGCAGGATTAAAGGGACTACAAGGGACAAAAATAAAGTGGCTTCTATGATTAAACCCCATGAGTCCTACATGTCCCAAGTCCTGGTCATAGTGGTCTCAGATGATCAGTTATGTAATCCTGCTTGGATAGAAGAGCAGCCAGAAAGGGTCCGATGGGAGAAAATAATCATAGTGAGTATAAAACTTTAAGCCTACAGTCAGAGTGGGTTATTGGTACCATAACATTTTTGATGTGAAACAGTTTTAGATGAAAACATAATCCAGAGTGTGAGGCTAAGATTAGGTAACCCATGTGCCATGGTGCTAAAGAGATAAGGAAAGAAAGAGATTAAGGAATGTTACAGCTAAATTGTTACATAGGTGCAGAAATTTTCTGGGATCCCATCACGGCTTGAGATGAAAAGGAAGACAGCGATCCAAGTGCTAAAGCCACTCCTATGAAGATCACTGGTAAATTCCACAGTGTCATGTCCAATATGGGCAATTCTTCTCTCTCATCTCACCAATTGGTAACATTTAACATAACTTATCACTTCCTCATTCTTGAAACCGTAAGGGCCAAGAGAAACTTCCCCTTTGCTCTCTGAAGATTCCCTGAAAAATCAACTAACAAAAGGCACATTAATTGGAGAAGAGACACACAAATTTTATTAGTGTGTACACAGGGAAAACCACAGAGTGATTACCCAACCCCCCCCCAACACGGTTCAGAAGCTTATATACCATCCTGGCAAAACAGGTTATGGGAGAGGGAAGAAGAGGAATTCTGTTGAGGGGCAATAAAGGATTACTAGGGAGAATGAATAGATCCAGGAACAGAGGTTAATTTGTACGTTATCTTGTGAAGGGATTTATTGAGGTGTGGTTACATTTTTGGTCTTACAGGGAGGGAAAGAAAAAACAATTGTTTCTTTTGGTGGATCTGAATCTTAGGCAAATACAGGAACTTCAGTATCATCTCTGGGAGTGTCAGTAGGGGAAGGGAAGTCAGAGAGATGACACTTCTTCTTCAGTTCACCATGTCAAAATGCCATGTTTTGGGGTAGCAGTTTCTGAGCCCCAACAAAACACTTTCTTCACTTGGCTTCTAGGATCCCACTCTCTCTGATTTTATTTCTCCTTCCTGTCCACTCCTCATATTCTTCTGCTGGATCCATCTCATCTTAACAATCAAATGCTAAAGGATCTAAAGCTCAACCATAGCACTTTTTCTCTTTGTTGCCTGACTTATTTCCTAGGAGATTTTTTAGGTTTTCTTTCATGTTTGTTTTTTGAGACAGGGTCTTGCTATGCTGCCCAGGCTAGAGTGCAGCAGCAGCAGCAGAGCTCACTGCAACCTCAAGCTCCTGGGCTCCAAGTGATCCACCTGCTTCAGCCTCCCAAGTAGCTGGAATTACAGGCACATGCCCCCATGCCCAGCTAATTTTTCTATTTTTTGTAGAGATGGGGTCTTACTATGTTGCTTAGGCCAGTCTTGAACTTCCGGCCTCAAGTGATCCTCTTGTGTTGGCCTCCAAAGTGCTAGGAATACAGGTGTGAGCCACCACACCTGGCCCCTAGGAGTTCTTATCCAATTTTATGCCTTTAAATATTATATACTGTTGAAAATGTATATATTTAGCTCCAACATCCTCCCTGAACTCCAAACTGTTTCCATGACATCTATTTTAGATATCTGTCTAGTAAATCTCTCAAATTTAACATGTCCCAAAAAGGCCACACTCCCTCCAAAGGGTCTAGCGGAGAATTCTTCCTTGCTTCTTCCAGCTTCTGGGGGCTTCTAGTGTTCCTTGGCTTGCAGCAGCGAAACTCCAATCTCTGCCTTTGTCTTTACATGGTGTACATC